AAATTTTATTTTATTTAATAGACCAATTTATCTTGCTAGTTTTGTGCAAACATATCGAACATGTTGTTGAAACGATAATTTTTGATCCAATATTACTCCTAAAAATTTAACAGTTTTGCTTTCGAGAATATCCGAATTATTTATTACAATCTTATATGGCTCCTTGTAGTTTAAATATTGGACTGGGCCAAAAATAATCATTTGAGTTTTTCTGCTATTCAATGTCAACATATTACATTCAAACCATGAGACAACCTTTTTAATTTTACTATTAGTCTTCAAGATGAGTTCATCGATGTTTTTGCCTGTACTGAATAGATTAGTATCATCTGCGAAGCAAATGTAATCAAAGAATGTTGAAACTTTCGGGAGATCGTTGATGAAGACAATGAATAGCAATGGACCCAAAATACTGCCCTGAGGTACTCCAATTTGGTTTAATTTTTCGCTCGAGCATGTACCCTGCCAGCTAACAAATTGACTTCTCTCCGATAAGTAACTTCTGAACCATTTCAGTTGCGAGCCACGTATTCCATAATGGTCTAGTTTCGCCAGCAAGATGTTGTGGTTGATGCAATCGAATGCCTTCGAGAGATCAAGGCACGTGCCTACGATGTATTTTTTGTTTTCTGCTGCGATCCCTATTTTTCTGATCAATTCTATTATTGCCAGCTCAGTCGAGTACTTCTCTCGAAATCCAAATTGTGAATCGTTAATTATGGAATTTTTTTTGAAGAAGGTTTGGCCGCCGAGGGTGCAATTTTAGCTACTGATATCCTGTCTTTAAAAGACAATGCCTCCATCATTGGGTTTGAGCTTAATATTAAAAAATGCGAATTGTACGCAAACGACTCTTTTGAAATGCCACAGACACTGGCGGAAGTGCCCTTAGTGTCTGAGGCATCATTGAGCTTCTTGGGCACCCCATTGATGGAGAGTGAGTTTCAAAACACTTTTTTTAATAAAAAACTCGCAGAGCTGAAATTCGCCCTCGACCGAGTGTCTCATCTTCCGGTCCACGACGCGCTGACCATCGTCCGCAACGCCCTTAGTTTGCCTAGATTGATGTACTTCCTTCGTACATCCTTCTCGGTTGATGCATCCATTTTGGGCGGATTCGATGGTGCCCTGAGGTCAGCTTTGTCAGCCCTATGCAATTTTGAGTTGACAGACAGGGGCTGGTCTCAGGCCCAGTTGCCGGTTCGGTTTGGGGGACTGGGGTTGTTAAGCGTGGTCCAGCTGGCACCTATTGTTTACAAATCATCTGCCGCTGCCACGCTCGACCTGCAGTCTGCCCTGCTCCGGCAATTTTTCACGAATCTTGGTACCCCACCAGCATCACCCAACCGAGCAAAACATTTTCAAGCTCGGTTGTTGGAAGAGGCATACAAAACAACTTTTCAGTTTTTGTTGTCCTCTAATCCCGACGATGCAACTTCGGCTCGTCTGCTGGCCGCGTCAAGCGACGCGAGCTGCGGTTGGTTGAGATCCTGGCCCAACTCATCGGTGGGTACCCGACTGGATGATGAGACGGTCAGGATGGCCATTGGTTTTCGTCTGGGTTTAACGGTCCACCATAAATATCTGTGTAGGTGCGGTGCGGAAGCTAACGAACTCGGTCACCACGGCCTGGTCTGTCGTTTAGGTGGAGGTCGTCAGTTGCGCCATTCCGCATTAAAGGATTACATCTGCCGGCTTTTCTCCAAGGCTTCAATACCCGTTCTTAAAGAGCCCTCGGGAATTTCCGCGTTGGATGGAAAACGTCCGGATGGCTGCACGTTGATTTCTTGGAGAGCCGGTAGATGCCTGGCGTGGGACGTAACCGTTTCGGGCACATTAGCGGAACGGTACGTGCACTTAACCACCAAGGAAAGTGGTTTGGCCGCAACCAGGGCATCGGATGAAAAGTTTAAAAAATATGAAGGTGGCCTGCCCTCGATGGATTTTTTACCTGTTTGCATCGAGGTTCTTGGCCCGATGGACAACAACATTTCAATATTTTTTAAAAAGATTTGCAAAATGATAAGTGGCCGGTCCGGCGACAGCAGAGAGCTATTTTTTGCCATGAATCATATATCTTGTTTGCTGCAAAGGTTTTTGCGCGTCTGTGTTACCGAAAATGTTCAATTAAACGCCGACGTGAGCGAATAACAAGATATCAATTGTTAACCGATTTTTTCAGATGTTTGACTGTTTAGTGTCACTCATCGCTGATTTGGTTTTAACATACATACATACATACATACATACATACATACATAAATACATACATACATACATAAAATGTAAGAATGATTTAAACTTAAAAAGCATGGGAAATAATATAATTAATGATTTAAAAATCGAATAAAAAATAAAATTAATTGATCGCCTTGTTAACGACTTAGTAAGTTAGTTTTGTGATCGTTAAGGTGATGGCGATGATGAAAGCATTGATTGCGACGATGATGATGATAATGATAGCAATTGCTGTTATGATGATAATGACCATAACTGTAATGGTTGTGATTTTTGTTGATTTTTATATAAATAAGTAAAACTTTTAAAAGCTTTTTATACTCATTAATTGGTATACTGAATTTAAATTCCATGGGAAGTCCTCGAACATCTATTACAAGACTCAGAAACGAACAGACATGAAGTCCATACACGCGTGAAAAAAATGGTAATTGGTTTCTAAAATTTGTTTATTACTTTGCAATATTCAATTTTGCAGAAACCTTTTCGTTGCTCAATACGATTATTATTCAAGTTATTAATTTGTATTTACATTATAGTTCCTTCAAGTTGACGTGATTTCTTGTGCGTTAAAGTTGTTTTTCTCATCGCATATATGCGCAACCGTACTTATTAATTATTTATTAAGATAAATTATTATTGACACTGTTAATATATATTTATTTTCCTTATTATTATTGTATGGGATCGAATCGCTTATTCTCAAGCAAAATATATTTATACAGAAATACCGCCCATCCCTATTTTAATATCTATGCGCTAGATTAGTGTTTTAAGGGGCAATTAGAACAGTACTCTTCGTTTCATCGTCCTTGTTGGCTGTGTGTTTCTTTAGTGAATAAATTTTGTTGGAGCACGTGTTTATTTGTTAAAATGTCAGCAAAATTTGATCTCTGCCAAGAAAAAAAAGACATTATGAAGGACAAACTCGTCAAATGCAGCTCTCGCCTTGAAAAGAAGAAAACAGGCGCTTCAGACACAACAATGCCGCTGCGACTCAATCCTTTCAGCACGACGCTCGTAGAGGCGTGGTTCATCTATTTTGAGAGCGTGCTACGATGTCGGGGAATCAGCGACAAAAAAGTTTTTCACCAACTCTTGTTAGAAAGTTTATCGTTGGAGACGATCGAAGAAATAGAGGATGAAATCGTCTCCGCAACTACGTACAATGTATTGAAGGAGAATTTAATTAATAAATATTCTTTTTCGCAGAAAAAGTCAGTGGAACATTTAACAAAGTCAACTAGCGCAGGATCATTGAACGACTCACTGCATCAATTAGCAGCTGTTGTCAACCAGTTGCATGATTGCAATAACAAAAAGTCACGCGACGCCGTACCAAAACTTGCCGAACAAATTTGTGGACGTTGTGAGCGAAGCCTGTCACACGATGAAGCTGTTCTAAGAAATATTTGCTGGTACCACAAGCGGTTTGCTGAAAATTCTAAAAAATGCGTGCCACCGTGCAGTTATTATTCTGAGGCTGTGGCAACAACTAGTCGCAAAAAGTCCAATCGCCATCTCAATCATGCTTCAGCAAGCAAAGAGAGATCAAAGACCAGCAAACAAGTCTCAACATGCAACAACAACAAACACACGTGTTCTTTGGTAGTTAATATCATTT